CAATTAAATGTAATTTTAATTTTATAGGGATTGAAGTCTTGCATTAATTTGAAATGGCTATCAGTTGTTCAAAACAAATTGCAAACTTTGAAGGGAATTGAAGGACTCACTAAACTCACTGTAAGTATCTGTGTTTCTTCTTAAATTCCGAATTAAAATGAATCACATTGAAAAAATATGATTCTTTTGCTTGCAAATTAGGTGTTTAATGCAGGCAAAAATAAGCTTATAACAATGGAAGAGGTTAGGTCTCTTGTCAATCTACGCGCATTAATTTTGAATGGTAAGGTTTGTAATAAAATGTATTACATTGCTAATTTGTCCTATTTTTGTTCAAAGCTTGTTAATTTTTTAAAAATTTAATTAGGATAAAATTTCTTATTTACCTATCTTTCGCTGGCTGTGCAGACAACGAGATTGTTTCCATATGTGGACTTGATGAGATGAAAGACTTGAACACTCTTGGTATGAGTTCATAATCTTCATCTTGACATTCGTTATTGTGCCGTTAGCATGTGCTTTAATTATAACCTAAGATGAATTTTTTTGGAAAGTTAACTTTGTTCGCTTTTTGGTTCAAACTTGAAATGTAAGAACGAAGTTGATAAGAATACAGTTCTGTTGTTCTAGAATGGATTGTTAGGAAGGGAACTACTTTCCAGTTAACCCCTCCAAGCACGGCCTTACTCGTCCCACCTCATTTCTCTCTTATTGGTAATACTTAAAGACCAACACTTTTAAGATGGCTATGCATACCGTTAAAAGGCACTTTGGTTTGGTCAGGTTTTACAGCAGATTATGTATGAAATACTTTCTGGTTTCCATTTGGTAACTAATGTACAAAGTTGTGAGTGCAAAAAGTTTCAATTCTCAAGCACCATGAAGGATTTTGGCCATCCAGGGATGTTTGAAATAACTTATCTGTCACTTAAAACACACAAAAACTGTTCTTAGTTGTCTCATGGAGACAATATAACAACCTGTGGTCGTCTTAGCTTCATTCACTTGGCTAAACTAAATGAGGAGAGAGAACCAGTTTTGCCTTCAATCTGGTGCATTAGAAATCTTTTATGTTGTTTAACTTGGATCAAACTCTCTATCTGGAATTTCCTGCAGTACTTTCTAGGAATCCTATCTGTGAAATTGGTGATTCTCTTGTCAACCTGAAATCTATCACAAAGGTGAGGAGTTTTTCCATTATATATTATTGGATGCAATTTCACTTGATTACTCCTAAAGCTTTTCAATTACTCTTGGTTTCAGCTCTCTGCATCTAACTGCCAAATTCAAGCTATTGACTCTGCGCTCAAGTGCTGCATTGAATTAAAAGAGCTTCGACTTGCTCACAATGATATCAAAGTATGTTCTTTTACATAATGACTATCCAAGCAAACATGTATTGATTGCAGCCTCTGCTATGTTTCAGTTAGCTGCTTTCATTATTATTTCCTATTTCCTTACCTGTTTCTTTACTATTTAATTACTGATATCTCATGTGTGTGAATTGCCCAGAGTCTCCCAGCAGAGTTGTCTTATAATAAAAAGCTTCAAAATTTGGACTTGGGAAATAACTTGATTGCTAGATGGTCAGAATTGAAGGTTTGTAGCAAACTTAACTTCTGTCCTGGTATTATGAATTTTTTTCCCTTGGAAATCCGTTTTTTGCATTGTTGATTGACAACAAACTAAATAACAGGCACTGGACTCATTAGTCAATCTGAAGAATCTCAATCTACAAGGAAATCCTATAGCTGAAAAGGAAAAATTGGCAAAGAAGGTAGGCATGTTTGCCCTTTGACACTTTACTCATAAATGTTTTTCTTCCCTTTTCTCTTGACATATTACTATAAATGAAACTGCTGCAGGTTAAGAGGGTACTGCCTAACTTGCATATATTCAATGCAAGACCAATTGATAAAAGCATCAAAAGCGAATTGGGTAAAGTTGTTGACATTGTTTCCCATACTACTGCTTACAAGGAGGAAATTCATGAGGAGAGAAAGGATCAAAAACAGAAAAAGAATCTCAAATTTCAAGGGCCGGTTCAAAAGCAGGATGTCAGTCTTGATAATGCTACTGGTCTTGATGCTGATAAAGAATTGAAAAGGAAAAGGAAGAAAGGAAATGGCAAGCTGTCTACAGAAGTTCCAGTCGATAAGGAGGATGTCATTGTTGAGAAGGAAGAAAAGAAGAAAAATCAAAGGGGGAAGAGGAAAATCTGAGTCATCTTGGTGTGGAGAAAAAAATTATACAGAAACAGAGGAAAACAAAAGATAAGCTCCTGAACAATGATGTTTCAATGCACGAGGATGGAATCATGGTTGAAGAGAAACCAAAGAAGAGAAAATTAGAGAAACGGGCTGAACTTGACATTATTGATGATGGAGGTACCTCTTTCACAGAGCTGTTCACAACTGATGTTGCAGCTCCGAACGATGATAATAAGAGGAAAATAGTTGATAGAGCCGGTCAAGATATGCAATTGGCAGGTAGCTTAGTTACCTACCCTGTGAAAAAGAAGAAAAGTAGACGTGCTGTGCTTCTTGAACTTCAGTTGTCCCCTGCAGTTGAAATTGGAATGGGAGGCGCATCAACCTGGGGTGACGAGTGAATCAGCTTTCCAAGTGGCACTCAATTTCCCAGTTAAGCTAGAATGGAATAATTAATTCCCATTCATACTTTCATATGCACGAGGTTTTCTTGACTTTTTTCTTCTCATTTTTGTGACAGCTTAGATGAATTTTGGTTTCTTGCATTATCTTGCCTGTTGAATGCAGAAAGAATCGAGATTACTTGAGGAGCAGATAATCACTGAACCAAATGTTCGAGTATTAACAATTAAATTATTGAACATTTAACTTTTTTAATTATTAAAGGCTAAGTATATCATTAAAAAAACATGGTAGTCAAAAGTTCCTATAGTTCCCTTCTAAATGGCACCTGTAATCTTTGACTAATAGCAAGCTGGTAGGTGACATAGAAAAGCTGTGAATTGATTTGGTCAATTGAAGTGGAAGACAACCAACTCCACCATCGTCATCGAATGTGGTCAAGATTAAGCTGCACTAAGCACCATGCTAGCTAAATGTGTGAAGTTGCGTAGTCTTTTATTTTATTTTATTTTTTTATGACCAGAGAAAAATGGAGAACAAAGAGGGTCATTCAAATCTTTTTTTTTTCATTTTTTAAATTTAATTATTACCTCTTATTTTATTACCTAAAGTATTCATAATAACTAGGTATGAAAGGAAATTATATTTGTGACAATTCCCTTTAATTAATTTAATTTAAGTTTTCAAGCTATCAACGGCTGGGGTGATTAAAGGATTGTAGCATGCTGTAAAATTTTAGTTTGAATCCAGACAATTCAATTCCTGGCCCAATTAAAAAAAAAAATTCAAAATCAAAGTTAAACATGATGTTTGATGTCAAGATTCCAAGTCACATTGCTGAGATTTTAGTTAGAGGCAGATTCATGCTTTGAAATAGAATGTTTATAAACACTTGCAAAGATTGAAAACTAAAAAGTTTTGAAAGAAATTTGTTTTTAATATTTTCAAAAATTTTCTTTTCACATGTTTTTCTTTGATAAAATTAATAAATTTATTGAAAATTTTTTAAATTTATAAACATGAACATTTCTGAAAAGAAAAAAAATTCTAGATCGGTGCCTGATTTTAGTTGGGGAAAGGACAATACCATGTTTTAATAAGACACATTGCTTAGGATGAAACAATTATACGCGTTTGATATCAGGACTTTTGCATTTGTTTTCAAAAACTTTATTCCAACTTCCAAAGCACAAATGGAGACCGGGCTAACCATTAGGTTATGTTTTATACATAAAATTATTTATATACGATATGATAATAATTATTTTATATTATATTTTATTTATATTTAAAGATAAATATAAAAATTGCAAGTAAAATTAATATTTTTTTGATATAAAATTATTCAAATATCTTCAAGTGAAAAAAATTATTTATAATTCATAAAATTATATTTACATATTTAATTATACTCTTAAAAATTATATCAATAATTTAAATTATATAAATTTTTTTAAAAAATAAATAAACTATCATATATTAATTCTTATATACATAAACACAAAATAAAATAAAATTATTTAATCTAATTTTATTAATAATATTATCTTTTTTTATCTTATTATAATTGTGTATATTAAACATGACCATATATCATCGTTATAGAGAGATAACGATGATTTTTATTATATTATTTATGTTTTGGTATCCTAGTCGAACAGCTTGATTAGGGATAAGCGAATCAATTTTTTTTTTTTATTTGCATTTATGTAAAGCCAGCTCTTAAAACTAACTGTAATTGATTTGATTACCGGTCCTAGTCGGATAGTTTGAAACAATTACACAAATAACAAATGAGAGGCAAATTTCAATGAGCTGTTAATTCATTGCCTTGAAAATCGATTTTAAATAGATTCTTGGCTAAGAAGACAAAGGAGAAAAGGCAGTAGGATGGAAGCAGCAACATGTCTTTTTCCAATTGTCTTTGTGCTCATTTAGATTTTACTGAATCTTTAATTTGGTGTGATTTATTTTATCACATCATCAATTAAATTTAAATATTAATTTCAATAAAATTTATTTATTATAAATTTATTATTAATTAATTGTAATAAAATATTAAATATTTAAATAATTATTACTTATAGTTTAAAGAATTTTTTTAGCCAAAAAATCCTTAAAAAATTATAATCTAAAAAAAAACAGAATGCCGACATCAAATTTTTAAAAAATTTTAGTCAATGTGATATTTTTAAAAAATTAATAATTAATTCATTATTTGCTTTTGAAATTGCTAAAAATAATATATTAAATGTACATAATTTTTTAAAATATTAATTTATTTATATTTAATCAATGTTTATAAACATACGTTAACTATATCCTAACTAAATAATCTATAGTGTTGAAATTTATTATTTTTTAGTGCGTTGAAATGAGTGTCCAATTTGAAACCTCATGAAGCATGTGAAACACAAGTGTAGTTTACTTTTTTTTGGACTTTTGGGGCTTAAAATTATTTAAGTTGGTTTGAACGAGACTTTGATGCAAATGAATTATTTGAGTTGTTACATTAAAATTATTATAAGATTTAATTGAAGGGATGATTTGTTGCATAATTCAAATATACATATATATAGGTAATTTATATATTTATATAGTATATGTTTTATATTAATATAAAAATATAAAAATTAATGTATCATAAAATAAAATTTACATCAACATATTAAATATGAAATATATTTTTAATTTTTAAAAAATTTATGTATTTTATTAAAATTTTAACCTATATCATTTTTATATTTTTTATATTTTTGGATATAATATATAAAATTATCAAATTTAATAAACTATTTGTTTTCATTTTTTTTTGTTTAACTTCCTTAACTAATTTCAAAAATAATGCTTCTAATTTACTAATTTTTATTTTTATTTGAGTTTGATTTAATTTTATATAGGATTTATCCAATAATAAACTGGTTTGTTAATTTGTTTTATGTATTTCAGTGATTTGTACTACTTGTCAATTGTGAAAATTGAAAATCAAAATTTCCTATCGTAACTTATAAAGACAAAAAAGAAAAGCCTTTAGATTTTCAATTTTTAATGATGGAAAGATGGGAGGGGGGAAGTAAACAAGACATTTCCCATTAAAAGTCCGTGTTTTGACTGTTTGCATAATCAAGATTTCGATCTCCTACAAAAGCCTTCTCCTTACCACTTTCCCTCTTTGTCTCAACTCAAACAACAAACCTCTTCTCTTCCAAAAAAAAAAAAAAACCAAAAATGTCCACGGCCGTCTTTCAAGGAGGCAACGCCAGCAACGAAAAAATCACCGCCGTCCAACCCGACGTCATCGAATCCCACATCCTTACCCAACTCGACGGCCCTTCCCTCGCCTCCCTCGCCTGTGCTTCGTCTCAATTACACGCCCTCGCTATCCAGGAAAATCTCTGGAAAAACATTTGCTCTTCCACTTGGCCTTCCGTTAATCACCCACTTGTTCAAGAAATTATCTCCACTTTCCCTTTCGGTCACCGTTCATTCTTCTCCGACTCTTTCCCGTTTCCCGATCCCCAACCGTTAAAGCTCGACGTCAACACTTTGACTCTGCCAACGAAATTAATCTCTGTCGTTGATATTTTTTACCAAGGCAAAGTTATTTATTCTAAAGTTGAAGAAACGGAAACGTCAAGCAGCTGGTTTTTGTATTCACCGTTCCTGGTGAATTTACTTGACCCGAAAGATTCTGCTCCGACACCGATAAAATATTGTGGTGGCAGCAGAGATGAGACGTGGCTAAAGCATTTGGAGGAAAACTTGAGTTTAAGCTGGATAGTTATCGACCCGGCTCGGAAGAAGGCGGTGAATGTGTCCAGTAGGAGTGCTGTTTTGGTGCGACGGCACTGGTTGACGGGTGATGTGCAGGTGCGGTTTGGGACGGTGATGGTGGGAGATGGACGGCGGGGATCATCCAGAGAGTTGGTGGAGTGTAGGGTAGTGGTCACGTGCGGGGGAAAAGAAGGAGGGGGGATGCACGTGAGAGAAGCGAGCATGGTGATGGAGGACATGGAAAGGAAAGGGTTGAATGGGAAGGATAGTTTGATAATTTTGGAAGGGATTATGGGGAGTGGGAGGAGGAAGAAAAGGAACGGAAATGAAGGGAAAGAGAAGTACGAAGAGTTTGAAGAGAGGAAAAGGAAGAGGAAAGAAAAGCAGCAAAGGAAAGAACAAGCGTTGGATTTGGTTTGCATCACTATCGGCGTCGCCGGTTTTGTTACATTTTGCTTAGCTATGTTGCTCCGGTTACAACATTAACAAAAAAAATTACTAAATACTTTATAAAATACAATTTTGATTGTCAAAAGTACAGTGAATGTTTAAAAAAAAATTGAGGAGTTAAAGTCTCCAGATTTATTATAAAATATTAATTTTTAATTTTTTAATCTTAATAATCTAAAATTTTTTTGACTTTAATTTATTCGATTTTATATAATTATTTTTTAAAAAATACTAAATAGATTTTAAATTTAAATTTTAATATATGTAATTTTTTTTGTCTCGAATTGTGATTTTTTTCTATTAAGAAAAAGGAAGGTATTAGAATTGTAAATTGTAATCGAAGGTTGTTTAATTAGTAAATTGATTTGTATCATTTTGTTCTTCTCATGCTTGGTAAAAATTAAAAGGAAAGAAGGGTTATATTTGGAATGATACTAAAGTTTCCAATGGATTGATTTGACAAGTAAGCCAATGTAGCAAAGCAATATGGCTTTGATGAGACAGTTAGATAACGATTCATGCATGACGCTTATTTAAATTATTTGTGAATTATTCATGAAATTAATCAATTAATAATAAAAAAATTCTTAAATTTTATTAATTTATTTAAATATATATTTTTATTTTTATTACATTTAAATAAATATTTAACTTTTAATTTACATTCAAATAAATCTTTAATTTTTAATTTAATCTTAAATTTATACTTAAATAAATCTTTAGTATAAATTAATCAATTTTTACTTCAAAAATTTTAATGAAATGAAGTTTATGAACTCATAAATATTTTTATGAAATTTCATGTATCAATAAAAAATACAAATTAATAGATAAATCAAATCAATAATTAACGAATTAACATATAATAAATGAAATAAACATTTAGTAAGAATTTAGATTTAGGATTTTCACCTTAAGACAAAATTTCATTGTTGTTGTTTTTTTTTTTTTTTAATGGAATGTTATCGAAAACAAAACAATATATAAAATGAATGAAGGACGAGATATAGAAGCATGAAATGAATGGTTTAAAAAAGGGAATAAATTAAGGAAAAAGACAATAGTATCAGTTTCAAGACGGTCTAATTGTTGGATTAATAATAGGCCGGCCTAATTAATTGTTTTTGGGCCGAACTATTTGGCCTGTGTCCACCGTCGTTGTTGCCATTGCCAACCTAAAACGGCTCTTTACTTCTTCTTGGTTATCAATTAGGCATTGCCGTATTGATGTATATATATATCCTCAAATTATACGATATCTACATGCAGATAATATCACAAATAATTATTAAATAGTAGTAAAATATCTAATAATATTTGAATTTTAAAAATTTTCAACATGGCTAAAAACTATTGACCAATTACCCATCCACGCAATCTTTCTCTTCCACAAAATCTTTATTTCATTTCAAACAACTAAATCTCATTTCAAGGATTTAAATAACAACATAGTAGCGATTATGATAACATCGTCATCCGCCACTATTATTAAAGAAAAAAAGGATGAGAATGCTGATCACGATGGTCGTAGCCTATCACAAATACAAAAAATGATGTAATAATCAATAGTGACACTATCGATCCATTATTGCTCATTATTTCGATTTTCATCCAAAAAATATATAGAAAAATAAAACAAACCATTATTCGAATAAAATTAAGAAGTTTTTATTCGAGAAAAACCTAAAAACAAAATAAATACAGCCTCACTCAAACTCAAACACTAAATTAAGATAAACGTAACCAATTAATTAAAGGTAAGCATTGCTATTTAACTTAAAATTTCTTTTTTATTTAAGAAATTTTTGCAAAAATTATGTTATAAACTAGTGAGTTATACTATAAGATCCATAGTGAAGGCCTGAGGTGAGAAGGATGCAATTAGGATGTTGGAGCCTTCTGTTTCTAAAGCGAGAAAGGGGTAGGCGATTGAAGCTTTCAGGAGAAAAGAAAGAAGCTGAAGGAAAAAAGAGGAGAAGAAAAGAGACTGTGTTTGGAGTTGGACGCTGAATGGAACATTATTAATGGAGGGAACCTAGAGGCTGGAGCAGGAGTTTCGAGTTTGGAAGGAGGAAAATAATGGTGCTGCTGGTGAGAGAAGAAAGATGAGAGAAATAAGAAATGGTTAAGGTTTTATGATATTTTATTCATGAATTAAACGGTAAGTTTTCAAATTAAAGGGCAAAAAAAAAACAAAAAAAAGGGAAAGAATTGGATGGATCTTGGCCTTGCATACTAGATTTTGGCCCAATAGTTTACAAGCTATTTGATTTATAGATTTATAAGATCCTTTACACTTTACATTAAGATTTTAATAAGTTTTTATTTGTATATTTATTTTTAGTTCATGTTAATAATATTTTTAAAAATATTTACAAAAATAAATAAATTATGAATGGTTGTATTATTTTTAAAAATTTTGTATTATGAAATATTTATAAATGAAGTATTATATTATTAATAAATAAAGTAAATGTGAATCTTTGATGATAAAATTCTAATAAAATCTAAGTATTGATTCTATTAAAAATATCTAGTAAGAAGAATCTTCAATACAAAAGACTCTCATTTACTCCCATTGTAATATTAGTATATATGGATTCTTGACATTTAATATATTTTATTTTATTACCTATTAATATTAGTAAAGATTCATAGGTAAGAATGAGTATTTTTCTAAATATGAATATTTACTATAATGACATAAATTATATATTTTTTATATAAATAAATGATCCTAGTGAAATGTAAATTATTTTAAAAATTATTAAAAAAATTTTTTTATTATCATAAATATAATTATTATGTCTTACAATAAATTTTATGAAATTAAAAAAATTTCATGACCACAATAATGATCGTGATAATGATTATTACGTTACAATACGACAAAAACCTTGATTATAACCGCAATTTAAATACCTGAATCACTCCACAATCTTACATCTACCACCACAAGCTAGCACCGTGCTATTTTTATTGAGTCACCACCGATCTGCCACTTGCCCTCAACCATACACCAAAAATGGCAGCTACATTTGCAACCCCGTCAACCATCGTTGGCCTTGGCACCACCACCTCGCTGTCATTAACCCCACCAAAGAAAACAACCCTCTCTTCTGATACGGTACACCATCCTTTTCCCTGGAGAATCCAACATTTTTGTCAATTATTAGTATTGTAATATTGTTAACATGACTTGTTTGTCAATTTTAGGCTTTTTGAAATCCCGGGTGACACTATTTCTTGATTGGGTAGATAGCTCCATCAAGCATACCGGCAATCGATGGGAGAAGAGCTTGACAGGGCTTTTCTTTGACAGCATTGGAACTGAGCTTACTCACTTCCCTACACCTCCTGCTCTTAGTACCACAATTTCTTGCTACAATTTTTTTTTGGTGGTTTTGTGTTTACAGCCAATTTTAGCCCAAAAAATTCAATACCAAAAGCCCAAAGGCAAAACGTTCAGTATCCGATATTTGGGTCTAGATTCCATTGAAGCCCAACCAGTTTGCCCAGTGTAGCAATAATTCTAGACCAAAAAAATAAAAAATTGAAGGCAGAAAATAGGTCCCACCGAGATTTGAACTCGGGTTACTGGATTCAGAGTCCAATGTCCTGACCACTAGACCATGGGACCAAGTTGTTATATCCACTGTGTACTTATTTACATAAATTTATAACATTGTCCCAAAGCATTTATTTTCAATCTTTCTCTGACAAAGTTTAGACATCTCTGGTAGAGCATTGACCCAATAATTGTCAAGAAACTTTGATCTATGTACTGATAATTTTAGTCATTAATGATTAAAAGATGAAGACAAACTTAAATTTAACCTATCATTGCTTCCTTTAGCAGAGTTATAAAAGTCTAGGATTCTAGTCTCTTCTTCCCTTATTAACTTCTTACATATACTCCAAGCATAAAATTGAAGATGACCGCCTCTTAAAAAAAATCATTTATTTTTTCTTTGTGGTTGACCAGCATTGTGCTTAATTATTAGAATTAAGAGTTTAATACTAGCAACATTGTATTAATATTATATGGATGTTGCATAAGTGGATTCACTTTTTATGAAAGGGTGTCTATTGACACCCAAAAATTGAAAAAATAATAAAATTTAAAAGAATTTGTTAATATATACTCCCAAAATTTTCCTAAACATCCCTAAAAATTGAAAAATAAAAAAAATGCTATGGACATCCTTTTTGTTAATAAAATTAACACTTCTATGAACAAATTTATATATATTATATATATATATATATAAATTATAAGTGCATATTTTTGACAAAATCTTGAATCTACCATTAAGTTGTTGACAAAATAATTTTTTGATAAAAAAATTTGAGGTAAGAAAAAAGATTACATATGTTACATTTGAATTGTAAATCTTTTGAATATTATCTTTTAATGATAGTTATATAAACCGATTTAATTTAGTTTTCAGTATATTTATCTACACTCCCAAGTGTTTTTCTTTTTATTTATTTTTGTGATTTTAATTGCTCTTTTATTTGGACAGTAAATGTTGCTGTGTCTAATGTCTAACTTAAGTTATTAACCATTGACTTTTTGTTTCAATGACCAGGCTGTGGTTGGTACTGTGGCATCTAGGACTGTTCATCACTCTTACTTCTGGATAAATTGGATTGAAGGGAAGAACTGAGGAGTACTTTTAAAGTCTAATCTCACCTCTTATCTTTTGCAATCTATTTATGAAATGATATTTTCGGTTTTTCCTTCTAACTCCTTGTTCAAAAGAATCATTCTCTTTGCTTTCTTTCTGTTGTAAAACAATATCTAGTTGTATGCATGTTTCCTTTATTTCCTTTCAATGCAAAAAAGATGGATTCTCTTAACAAAATTAACTATGCTTCTTTTGACTTTGGGGAAGAGAATAAAGGTTTTCCTTTTCAAACTTCTTTCCCTTTTTGTTAGGAATAATTGGACAATCTAACCAATTTTAATATTATTTTTTTGACATGGAAATGATCTTACATTTAAAATCCAAAAATTAAACCTATAAGTAAAAATTATTCTATTATTATCAAAATGTTTTATTTTAAAAAAAATAAGATAAAATTGTGAAAGTAAACTTTTGAATAAGACAATAATTCATAATGAACTCTCCAACAAACATTTTTATATATACCATATTGTTTAAACTTTGAATTAAGCTAGATGATCCATTTATATACCACTATGATTTAAAATGTTAGATTTTTATAAATTTGATGAATGGTGTATTTATATTATATAAAATATTAAAATTTATATATTAAAATTTATTTTATATAAAAATTATATTACAAGTATCAATATAAAAATATAAAATATATATTTTTAATTTTATTAAATTTATATATAATTATTTATAAAAAAATTTAAATTATATTATATTCATATTTAAATTTTATATTATATTTATATTATATTATGATAATGTTTTTTAAATTATCAAATTAAGTTACCCTGCGTTTTTTGTTGATTAAATTTCAGGTAAAAGTAGCCGTTGAATTCTCTCATCGTGAAAACTACTCCTAACGTACAAGCAGACCTTGAAAACAGTGTTACTTGCCTCGAACAAAGAGGCACCTTTGAGACAACGAGACACGCCATTGACGTGGACCGTCGCTTCCACTTCAGCTAAACCAATTCAACATAAATTTTCGACCGTACCCTGCCTGTCCAGTATACATTTACAAGCCTTCGGACCAAAACATTAATAGAAACAAATCCGATACCGTTTTCCACCAATCCCGCCCGCCCTTTTCCTCAAAATTTTCCTGCTGAGAATTCCAAACTCAAGACGGGAATTATTATCAGAGTGGCTAGCCACAAACAATGCCAAAAAAACTGGGTCCCCATTAATATTTGAGTAATATTTTCTTTTTCAGAGAAACAGCTAAGGAAAATCCCACAGATTAAATCCCATACCATTTGAGCCGTTAGTGGGTACCTACATCCTGGCCTCATCTCTCAATAAATTTTTTATTGGTTGTTTGATAAAGTTAGGGCACCAAGTTATTTGGTTCAAAATTATATGAAGTTCTCCCTATTTGTCTTATTTATAGGAAATTAACGAATTTTTTTAATTTTATAAATAAAATTAAGAGATTATTTATTATTATTATTATTATTATTATTATATTTTAAAAGATATGTGACTTTTTAATAAGACGTGGCATAGTTTACAATGACCATTAATTTGAGATAAATTTTATTGAAAATATTAGTAAAGGATTATAACAATTTAATCTAAGATCACTTTTCTATTGAGGTTGAACGAATATTATGAATTAAAACTTTTAGAAGTAAGTTTATAATAGACAAAAATAAATACAGAGCGGGTAGTCTAGTCAAGATTCGGACCGTTCATTTACAAATGGACGTCTGTGATTGGATACAAGCAATCTCACGTGTACGCCACGTCGTTCCTTCTACTCTTTTAATCAACCCAAAAGGTTTCCGAATCAAAGCCATCAACACTTGAAAATAAAACAGCTCAAAATCTCTCCCCTGTTTTCTCTCAAATCTTTCGACAATCCCATTTTTTTGTTGTTGTTGTTGACAGCTGCCCACGTCTTGTAAAACCTTTTTCTGATCTTCTTTTATGGTATTTGACACTGTTTCTTTCTTCCCTCCTGTGAAACCCTGAAGAAGAAGAAGAATCTTTGATTGTCACTTTCTTTGATAAATTCTAGGCAAAAAAGAAAAGATGGGTACTCATGATCAATCTTCTTTCATGATCTTTTCTCCACCTTGCCCTCTCTATCGCATTTAAAAACTTTGCTTTCTTTCAGAACCAAAAAAAAAAAAAAACAATCTTCAAATTTTGGTTCATATCTACTCTTGAATGGTATCAAAAGTAAAAACTTTTGGTCCAAAAATACTTCAAATGCTTGAAATTGGTTCACCAAATTTGAGACCAAATTCTTGTGAAAAAAGGGAATAAGTAAAACTTGCAACGTCATGGCAACAACACCAAAACGTGGAGGGAATAGGTAAAAGGGCATGTAAGATTAGAAAACGAGGTTGTTCTTCATCTTCATCATCATCTTTGATCCAAAAATACAGATTCAAGCGTGCAATTTTGGTTGGAAAAAGAGCAGGATCAACTACCCCTGTTCCTACATGGAAAGCAGCTTCTTTAGCGATGCCAAGTTCTGAATTTCCCACCAAGGGTTCACCAAAGACTGTTACCAAAACCAAACAAGCCTCAGTTTCTGCTAGAAAACTTGCTGCCACTTTGTGGGAGGTTAATACAATCCCTTCCCCACAAGCAAAGGAAGATTTGGAGAAGAAAGATAGGAGGAGAAAATTGCCTAGAGTTGCAAAAATGGCTGATAGTTTGCCGCCAAATATGTCTGATCCGCCTTATAGTCCTATTTCAGAGGTGGGATTCTTATGCTTTGATCATTTTGAAGTTTTAGAAAACATTTTCTTATTGAAAGTTTGGTGTGTGTGTGTGTGTTTTTTTTTACCTGTTGATTTTGTTTTGTTTTGCTGTTGAATTTTATAGAAGATGGATCAAGCCAGAATCAAATCTCATAGGAGAAGAGCTTCAGTTGTTTCTCAAAAGCTTCAAGTAACTGATTATAAGTTGGGGAGCTTGGACACTGTTGGCAATGCTAATGTGATGGAGGTGATAAATCAATTTTGAAAATTTATTTTCTTTGGCTTTAATTTTCTGTTTTCTTCCCTTTCAGTCTGGATTTGTTAGGTCTCATTTTCAGCATTTTTTTTTCGAAGAAAAAAAATATGAGAACATATAATCGAAAGCCAAAAACAAAAAACAACACGAAACTGAGAGAATTTCACATATAATGTTTTGGCAAATGGATGTTCTATCGTTGTTTTCTTCAAAATGGATCTCTCAAGGTTTTCGGATGGCAATTCATATTTTAGAATTTTTTTAAAAAATTTTATCTTGAAAATAGAAATGGAACATTGATAATGACAACTGCACAGAAATATCCACCATTTCATTTTCAACCAGGTGTTTGTATTAGATATATTTCTTCAGGTTTTGAATTACTAACCTGCAGTCTCATTGTGCTCCAAAATCTGCTTTTTATAATTTATTATGTTTTATATTTATATATATGTCCGTTTTGTTATATGTCTGGGTAATAGCATAAATAATGAGCAAGGAATTTGATACATTGGTATTGCCTTTGCTTCTTTTTTGTTATTTTGAGAGTATGTTTTGCTTTGAGTGATTTTATTCAGTTTGGTACTTGAGAATTTACCGCAATAAACTTGGAGTTGAATCGTCATTCTACTGAAAATAGGAAAAGTAAGCAAAAATAATGTTACTGATGTCATGCCATGAATGCAGATTGAAACTCATTCTAGGGGTAAAAATCATGCTGGATGCATGATTGGAATTAGAACTCGTTTAAAGGATGTCAGTAATGGTCTAGCCACTTCTAAAGAACTCCTAAAAGTTTTGAATCGTATTTGTGGTCTTGAAGAGCAACATTCATCAGGCATGTCCCTTGTCTCCGCCCTGCGTGTTGAACTTGATAGAGCACGCATCCAAGTTGATCAATTGATCCAAGAGCAACGATCTAATCGCAATGAAATTGAGTACCTCATGAGGCATTTTGCAGAAGAAAAGGCAGCTTGGAAGAGAAAGGAGCGTGAGAGAATTCGTGATGCCATAGCATGCATAGCAGAAGAGCTTCAAGTAGAGAAGAAACTCAGGAGGCAAACAGAGAGATTGAACAAGAAGCTTGGAAAAGAATTGGCAGATACAAAGGCAATGCTGTCAAAGGCAACAAAAGAGCTTGATTGTGAGAAGAAGGCAAAAGAAATATTGGAGCAAGTCTGTGATGAGTTGGCTAGAGGTATTGGAGAAGATAGAGCCATGGTTGAAGAACTGAAACGAGAGTCAGCTAAAGTGAGGGAAGAAGTGGAGAAGGAAAGAGAAATGCTTCAGTTTGCTGATGTATTACGAGAGGAGAGAGTCCAGATGAAGCTTTCCGAGGCTAAATATCATTTTGAGGAGAAGAATGCCGTTGTTGAAAAGTTGAGAAATGAACTTGAGGCCTACCTAGGAACAAAAATAGGTGAAGAAAATGGTGATGGTTCTCCGAATCTACGGAGAATCAAGGAGCTCGAAGCTTATTTGAAAAATATTGATTTTGGATCAGGTCAAGCGGCAGAGAACGATGTGGATAAAGGTGAAATTGCGGATGGAGAAGAGTGTGAAGCAGATGACTCAGCTGATAGTGATCTTCACTCCATTGAATTAAATATGGATAACCATAACAGGAGCTACAAGTGGAGTTATGCTTGTGGAAATTATGCTGAAGTTGAATCAAAGAAGAATTCTGTTGAAAAAGAAAATAAGAGGAGGAAATCTCTCTCAGAGAAAATTTCTTGGGGAAATATTTGCTTAGAAAGAGGAAGTGCTAATTCTACAGAATGGGACTTTGTCCTTAAAAGCCAGGAAAAATTAGATGGCTTTGAGAGGGATCAGACGTACATTCCAGCTTCACAAGTTCAGGCACAGGATTACGAAGATGAAATTAAAAGATACAGATCAGTTAAGAGTCTTAGAGATCACATATTATCTAGTAATAAAATAGCACCCATCCAAAGCTTTTCCAGTCCAACCCGGCAATGGAGCCAGTCCATGCATTTTCAGGAGCCTAAGTTAGTTGGCATCAGAGGTGAAGGCCGAACTTCAACAGGCTAAGAGAGAAGAAACATTTAATTTTTTGTTTTCCTTTCCTGACTAATGCTTTGTTGCATTTTCTTGAAATTCAAACATTCTCACTGGGAATTTATTTATGTTGATTAATTGCAAACTCCAAAAAGCGAGACTGTAAATAAACTCCTAGGCTGTATGATTCTGGTATAATTTATGGATACAAATTGTTCTACAAGAATAGAGCTTGGCAAAATACTTAATTGCTTTTTTTTAGTCAGTTCGAGGGTTTTTGAACCATAAATCTTGAGCCGTAGCAACCTCTACACTGAACTGCTAGGGTCTGTTCCATTGCACTGTTCTCAAATTCTGACGAAGAAACTGACTCGTAACGGCTGCCACCAACCATTATTTGGTTATGTTCTGTCCAGCAATCCATGAGGCTTTTCATTTGGAGCGATCTGCTAAGGCTGAATTGGAATTTAAGAGGATCAAGACATGAATAGGCTAAGGGTTCCTATGTCTCCTTAATCCTTTCTCCTTGTTTCTTTGAATTTCAATCTTGATTAATAGACACTTTGCAGCCTAGTTTTTAACCTTTGTGTTCTGTTCTATTCTCGATTATTTTATTTTTTTTTGGTCAAATTCTGACAACCAAAGTCGAGCAATGATGACCAAGCACAACTCAATTATTATGTAGATGTGAAGACTTCATGTGGCTCTAATTGGGCAGAATAAGTTGATTTTTGAGACAAGGTTAAGAGTAACCATTTTATAATACCCCAAAAAATAAAATTTTATATTATTCTCGATTATTTCCAACATGGTACTTGGTATTTTATGTATCCTATACATACTAAGTCACCATCACCCATGTGACTTCATGCGACCAAATTGTGTAGAATGAATTGTATCAGAATCTACATTTGACAAAACTCCAACAGCTCACATGGCTTGTATGATAACTCAACATTGTCGTTTTTCCTCGTAAAAATATCAGTTTCTTCATGTCTTCATTCTCCAGGCCCCTAGGGGTCCTTTTTTAAGTCTAATCTTGAATTATTTTACCAACAACCAATTGCTGGACACATTTCCATAATTGAACTAATATTGAATGGTATCTAAGTTCTGATAATTGAACTTGTAGGAGTACCACCCAATATTTTGGTTTGGTTGGTTGTGTACTTGTCAATGGTTTACGTTGCCTCGTATCGAACTTAACTGAGACTCATCTCTTTTGTTTCAGTATTTGATTAATGAGTTTGTTTTTTATATACTGTTAGTAAAAGTTTTTAATTTTACAAGCAAATATAATTAAAAGTGATACAATGAATGAAATAATTTTTCCTTGACCGATTAACGTAGAAGTTCATTTCCAACTCAATAATATTTTTCTTTTTGCACAAGAAAAAGCACTCTGCTCTAACATCACTCTATTCTTACTACTTGAGCTAAATCTGGATTGGTGTTAGTACTTAATACTACCAAGAAAGAAATGATACATGTCATGCACGTTTTTGTTGGATACAAATTGTGCCAAAAAAAAAAAATGTTTTGATAAAACGAGGGAAGGCTATGTACATTTTTACCCATGATTCAGTCAATCCCCATATCCACCAATAAAGAAGAAAATTTGTTGTTGGGCAAGACAATCAATACCATTGCTGTCTAACAACTAACAGTTAATATTAAAATTATTAGTTAGACTGAATTTTTTACAAGAAAAAAAAAATCCTAATTTGAAGATAGAGAGAAGGGATTAAGGTACTAAGATTTAAACCCTAAACTTATGATAACGTATACCTTAAAGTTGAGAACATGACCAAGTGAACCAATGCTCAAGGTTAGCAAACTCTTTTTACTAGAGAACATAACTTCTAGTCCTATAGATCTAAAATTCTTAGTTGGGCACGAGATTAAGTCCCAGCTAATCAAATTGAGCATTGTAGGAAGCAGCAGCATAAATTATATAAACGGTTCCAATTATTCTGTAACTTGGAATTCCAATGACAAAATCATTTTGGTGGAATTTCCTAGACATAAAGAGCATATCAATGAGGAGGCAGGGACAAGTAGAAGGAACTGAACTTCCTGCATACTAGCTAATGAATTCCAAAATAAACTTTCAAACCGAGAAAATTGACAGTCAAAAAGTATTGATATTGGTATAAAATAAACTGCTTTGATGCAGCACCAATCCATGAAGTAAACTCGTGAGATTCACAGAAGCAAGGTTTGTATCATTACCGATTCTAAACATTAGACGAGATACACATTCCCACAAAGTAATTTTCTACTTATGGATTCGTATTAACAATTTACATCTGTCGAATGATACTCAAAACCGATACAGGAAAATACAACAGTCATCAGATGGCTTTAGAACTTTTATTCATCTGACTATTAGTGAGGGCGAAATGAGACCACACACTATTTGTGAGTGTCTTCGGTTTTTTAGATGCTGATGTAAAAGAAACTGGTTTTGCAGGATGGTCTCTCACAATCAAGCTAAGCACTTCTGGTCTTGAATAATGCCCAACCACATCAAAATCGAATTTCGCCCTAGCTATTTCTCCAAGATCTGGGAGTCATTTGGTTATATCATTAATTTGGGTTAGTCACCATAAAAAAGACCATGCTAAGCTTTGGCACACTCAATATAACCAGTGGAGAAGAAACATGTAAAGGGCGCAACCAATCAGAAACAGTAATCCTGCCTACAAGAACTTGCACAGGCAGACAGAAGAGAGAGACAAGCACATGTAGACACAAAAACACAGACATGAACTATGGAGAGAGGATGAGAGAAAGAGATTAAACCCTAAAGCCTGAACTTACCGCCCAGATGCAATAATGTTACGGGAACTGAAACTGTATAATTTTCCTTGGTATAGTCTGTCAGAAAACGAGTCAGTATGCAATTCGGTAGATAGGAAAAGTTTTCCAATAGTTGGGCATAGTTGTATCAGTGATTGTGCCTTTTATAATTCGAACTTGAGAGCTATGATACTATGTTAAATTGAGTGATCAATTATTTTAAAAGGTTAAGCTTATAGGAAGGGCCCAATTATTATATTTAAGTTATAACGGGACTATTGATCTTACTTCCATCAACATCTCGAGAAAATTGTTCTGCTTCACCTTATTCGGGTGCCAGATGACAGAACAGAAAATAGCCAGATTCTGAATGGTTGGTTAATAACTTAAGACATTCTCTCTAACACATTCTCCCTGACACAACCAAATGTAGGTAATCTAGTATGTTTTGGCCAAGTTAGAAAGAAATTTAGGAGATATTAAATCATAGATTACTGTACAAACCTAGATCTGCTGATACAAGTGCCTCCCCATTGTAATTGGGACCAGCCAGAATAGCTCCAGATGGTGATATAATGACACTCCCTCCGGCACAGACAACAGAATCTGGAGTGAGTTCGTCTTCTGTCCCAGAAAACAGATAATCTGGAGGAGATGGGTAGTCTTTCCTCCGACAGAACTGGTTGGCTGACAAGACAAAACACCCACCCTCAAGAGCGATATGGGTCATTGATGCTTGCCACACATCCCTGGAATCAGCAGTAGGTGCACAATATATTTCAATACCTGCAAACATTGAAGCCTTGCAAAGTTAAAGCATAAAAACTGTGATGAGTTAAACTAGAAAGCTCAATACATGGTTTCCATAAATGTTGCTCATAGAATGAATGAGATTGAGATCACTGCTACCTTTCATTACATGTTAATTTTCCTTCTGAACTACATAACAGGGAGGACAGGTACTATGACACAAATTCTAGGAGCAGAAATTTGACAGTTATTTAAATCAATGCTGAGTAAGTTCTGCAAAACTAAACCTTTGCAGCTGGATAATTCTTTGGAGTTGAATACGACTGATCTTGGGATAACTTGGACCTACCATGATCAAGTATCCACTATCTAGTCACTGAAACTCATGCATTCAACAAAGGCATAGCACTTGATTGCTGGCATAAATATGAGAGAGAGAGAGAGAGAGAGAGAGAGTAGACAAACAAGTATTTGACCCGAATGGTGCACTAGAATTTCAATTTAATCCAGCCAATATCACTTCAGAGCTCTCAAACAGAAACTCATTCCGTGCATGGTGCTCATAAAGTAGACAAGAGTCAACTTCTTAAAAGGCTCGAGTCATTAAGCAAAGGTTCTAGTTATGGGCCATTCTTATTTAAGCTAGAATCCATAAAAAAATTAAACATCTGAAACCCAAAATAGGGAAATGAAAATACATATTTACTCCAAAAATATATGAAAAAAGAAAACATTATTATCAACCAGGCAGGCAGCATGAAGAAAAGCACGAGGGCCGATATCAAAGGTATATATGCCCTGCATTATTTACTTCAGCATTAAAACGTAAGTGAAGGACCAAAAATCCAACCTTTTGCATACATTGCTGTCCTCAGAAGTGGCATTCTATTTTCCCAACAAATGGCAGCACCTATTTTTCCAATTGGAGTCTCAAAAACTGGAATTGTTGATCCATCTCCAAATCCCCAAATTATACGCTCCAATGCTGTGGGCATGATCTTTCGGTGCTTCCCCAGGAACCGACCTTGAGAGTCAAAAAACAGAACTGTACAATATAAAGTATATCCATCTCTCTCTATCACACCCATCACCAAGTACACCTTATGCTTTCCAGCCATGGCTGCCAAACGATCAACTTCAGGACCTGCAATTAGCAAAAGCCACTGATATGAAACAAGATGTTAAATGGAGTTTCAAATACATTTGCAAATTGCAAAGGATGATATAGAAAGAGTTTAGCAATCTATTATAAATGCATAAACAAAAAATCATCCATTTGCATTATCATATCAAATATATATATATATATATATATATATATATATATATACCCATTATTTGTCGTACCAATATATACATAAAAAAATTTTAAAAGAAAGAAGCAAGTGTTTGATTCAGACCAGGAACATCAATGGCTAAAGCATGATATTTCCGAAACTCTTCCTTCCCTTTAGCAGTTCGGTTCCCAATGGTAACACCAAAATTGGAGCCGCGTGGATATCCTCCTATAAACGCTTCAGGGAACACCACCAGCTGAGACCCGTACCCAGCTGCTTCAGCCAACAACCTCTCCGCCTTATCTAAAGTAGCAGGGGTGTCATAGAAAACGGTTGAAGCTTGGACCACGGTTGCTCGAACGGTAGTGGAGGAGGCGTCTCCACCCATGTCCACCTCGGCGAAGAGCGGTCCGTCAGGTTGTGGGACAGGGACTAGTGACATCTTGTGTTTGGGAGTTGAATTGTTGATTTGTTTGTCAGCTAGTAGAGAAGTTTGCATATGGAATGGTAGTTGTTGTAAAATAATAAAGAGGCTGATGCTGGAAAGAAGCCGTGGTTTCCAAAGCTTTTAGCGGTTTTGGGGTTACCAGAACTTTCTATTCTAATAAATTCCCTTTTTTTTTTCCTTCATGAATGACTGTGTGAACCATGCTTGTTCTTGGTGGTGGCAGGGGATAACACCGCTCCCCGCCAAACCCATACCAACAGCCAACCATCCATCATCAAGTAAAGGCACTTGAGCACAAATACACAATACAAGATAACTTTTTCATTTTTTAACAAAAATGAAAAATTTTGAAAATTGTGTTGGGATGGTGTATAATTAGAGTGACCAATTATGTTAAACAAAGTGTGTATCCAATTATGTTACTAAGAAAGAAAGTGAAAAAAACCATCTTTAATTGTCCAACACAATATTTTGTAATCAAAGGCAGGCAGTGGATCAACTTTGAGGACTAGCATGCACAATCTTTCATTTACAAATTGCTTCAAAAACACAAAAGCTTAAGGTAAAGCTATAGTAGTCCGACTTAATTATCCTATTTTTTTGTCTTTCCCAAATATATTCAACAACGAAGATGTCGAAAAATGCTGTAAATGCAGCCATTTCCCAGTTTGTGAAGCTTGACATTATATTAAAAAACGAGGGTATAATTGAGCTCCCAAAACCCAACATTCTCAAAAAAAAAAAAAAAATCTCTAAGTTTTTAAGTTGAATCTAAAACATAATTAAGTTGATTTATTTAATTACCATTAAAAGGTAGCATCGAATAAATTTGAGATTTGAATTCCAACTTTTACTGTTTTCTTATTTTCGGGAAGAAACCTATGTAAAATTATTTTTTAAGCTGGATATGATGGCATTTATGCCAAACTTGAAGGGGGGATTTGGATTCTGAGCTGGGCTCTTTAGAAACAAACGTTGAACTCAGAATCCACAAAAAAATGTAAACCTAAACCCAATCCAAAAGCAGCCCAACTCAATCTACTAATTCTAATTTCATTTTTATGTATGTTACTGCTTTCGAATGTAAATCAACGGAAACTTTCTTAATTGCGCCATCAGCGGTTCGTTGCTTTATACTTTTTACAAAATTATAAAAAAAAAAAATCCAAAATAAAAACCTTAGCTTCAAAACTCACTTAAAACTCTCAGAAAGAGAAATCAGAATGTGTCGATCCATCATGAATTTAGGGCCATCTCATCAACTTTGATCTGTAAGTTTTCCCCTTTCTAAGTTTTTTTTTTTTTTTTTCAATTCGTCGCGTGTTTTCGTTGACGATTGTAAAATTAGGTTTCTGTTTTCATTTTTAAGAAAATTTAGGAATAAATTTCCTTTTTTAAAATGCTATTTGGGGGTTTCTTATCAATGTTAAATTTGACTTCACTTAGCTAATGTGAATGATGAAAAGGGGGGATTTTCTTTTTCATGGGTTTCCCTTAATTTTCTCGGCAACCAAGCAGAAAATTAAGGTTTTTGAGCTGAAATAGACTGTTCAGAGTTACTTTTGAGGTATTTTTAGGTGTTAGGGTTTAGTTTATATGAAATTACCGCACTTTCTATGTGAATATCCATCTCAATTTTGGGTTTTATTTTTACTTTAATAAATTTGTTTAATCACGTATCACATGATTATAATAAGGGGATTCAGATAGAACAAACTATAAATGTTGAACTTTTGGCATTCCTACTGTCACTTAATTGAAGGAGTGTTTATGGTATGGTTTTTAATGAATGTTGAATGTGGTTTTTTTTTTTTTTTTTTCATTACAGGCTTCATAAGAGAGTTACATAACCATGTCCAGACCCATGCTATTTGTTTTTCTATTACTTATACTCATTATCACCTCCCAGTTTGAGTGGAGACAACAACTTGTTGTTGATATTGACACGACCCCGACTCTAAACCAGAACCAGCAACAAATTTCGAGAAGGGAAGAAGCTGTGAAAGAAAAGGTAACAGTTTTTTCAACTTGTAGCTAAAATTTCAACTTCTATCTGTTCTTGATAGAAAACACTTGGATAATGACATCAGTTGCATGGAAATGCACACCTTTTATATGTTATATTAATGTATAGTTGTTACTTATGCTGGGCTGCAAACCCATTTTTGTCTTCTTTTCTTTTTCTAATCAGCTTGCTGATGTTTGTTTATTCTAGTGTAGGAAGCTAGTTTGTTTAGAATAAAAAGTTTTTATATCGTTCTTCAGCAATTGCTTTTCTGTAACCTATCCTCTTGTGTTTTCTTTGAGTTTTATCATTATTCAAGATTTATGTTTTTTCAAAATTTGGTATCTTATCAGTATACATGACATTGACCTTTCGTCTCTAAAAAGAATCATATTATTGATGCATTGTTCAATATCATGTGATGTCCATAATATCCTTGATGCTTACTTCCATTCGATGTTAAAGGGCTTTTGCAGCTATTATGGTAAATAAGTTCTTGGCAATTAAGCCTTTTAGGACATGTTTAATAAGAGTTAAATAGTATTATCTACTGTTCATTTTGTTGATACTTCATATTGACCTCCTGATAATTACACCGTTTCCTCAAGAAAACCTGTGAAGTAACTGATTAACCTAAGAGGTTACTCATTGCTTAGGCCCTATGTACCAAAACTCACAATGGTTGTCATGGAAAGCATTTCAATTTGACAGTAATTTATGCCTAGTGAGCTTGTTTATATTTCTGTCAATAACAAAGTTCTTGCTTTTCTCTGTTGTCACTTCTGTTGGCTAGTCTTAATTTGCTTTTGCTAGTAATTATTATGGTGTACCAATCTCCCATATTCACGTTATTCTAGAAGCAACAGTGCTTTTTCAACCTCTGATATAACAAAGCATAGGAACTAGGTGCTCGGAAATATTTGCCTCCTGGTAGCAAATTATAATGGAGTTGTGTGTTTTTGTCAAGATTCATATTTTCTGCTGAGCTATTTAACTTCTGATTGACTTCTAGTGGAAATCTGTCATTTGTTTCAGATCATCCTATCACAAGAGAAGAACATTCAAAGACTTAATGAACTTGTGCAGAGTCTTCAGCAGCAACTGTTGCAGTGCAAGGGCAATAACAAGACAACAAATGGCACTGTAAGCCATTTGACTGAACATGTTATTGAGCTTGAGCGGGAGCAGATCTTGGAGGACTAGGCTATGATATCTAAAAACATATGTTCTGATTGTGGTGCATTGAAGTTGTAAAATCATCCATGTAAGGGTAAGTTTGAAGTTCCATTTGTTGTAAGTTATATGGCCTTTTCCCACCTCTTGTCTTCTCCATCTCTTTTAAAAGAAGCGGCGAAGCTATGCACGATATAAATTGTCCATCATACAATCCATAGTCATTGCTACGTGACTGCTGTTCATTGACTCTGCTACTTTGACGCTAACTAATCTCATGATGTTATTGTCTTGTATTAGAAATATGGTCAGCACCCTTTAGTTGATTGAGAAAGACTAAAACTATGATGAAATATAGTGTTGGATAGTCGACTCAATATAGGCCTATGTTAGAATAGATAAGTTGTTGCCTGTCCTTTGCCAATATTGGACTAATGGAACTTTACCACCTCGAGACTTCAATCATTGAATAACAAAATGTTTGCTTTGTCTGTCCGCCCCCTGTTCAATTCCTATGACGGGGTTGACTTATCATTTTTTAGCAAATTGGTCAATCTGAACTATTATCTTAAATCGCCATTGCCTGGATGCTCCTGAAAGTTAGAAGGTCCACAAATGAAGATAAACAATCTTACTGCTTCAGTTAACCATATGTTTAAGGCTTTAAGCAGAAATTCCAAACTCCCAAATCTGTTGTAACTACCTATTACTCTTAAGGTTTCTGTGGCCTATGATTCATCTGAGTAAGAGTTGGAAGAGAAATATGATTCGTTGGTTATTTATGTAATATAGTACACCACTTATTACTTTGGTTTCTTTCTACGCTTTCTGCCCTAGCGCAGCACCTTGAAGAGAAGTATGATTCATCGTCTGTTTATCTAGTTCCGTGCTTACTATTGTATCGAACAGGGAAGGATATGTGAATATGGGATTGGCAAGGATAGGGCCAGCCAACTCTCCTCCTGTACAGAGGAGACTTTATAAAAGAAAATTTATGAGGCAACAATGATCAAAGCGCCAAACACGTTTTATGGCACTGAACAAAGTTTGAGTACATGACATTTTGTATATGATGAAGATATTATAAGAGTTTTATATAATGTGATTTTTTGTGTGTCTCACACCTTGATTTGGGGTCCAATGAGCCGATCTTTTTAACACGTCTGCATCTGTAATGACGATGGGTTCCAATGTAAGAAAGCTAGGGATGTAGCCTGAAAGCAATTTTCCTTTTTGATTAATGCAAATCTAAGCATGGGCTAGCCTTTACTTGGGGCGTGGTTGAACAACTTGAACTTAGCACTTAATTCCGGAAAATTGGTTTTGACATTCAAAGTGATGAGAGAGAATTAATGAGGTGTCAATAAAATTTGTTTTGATCATTAATCGCATAAATCAAGATTGGTTATTAGGTTTGATACTATTAAAGTCACAAATTTACAATGTTGGTTTTTTTTTTTTTTTTTATTGCATTAGGTAATATAACGTCTTGCACTAACATTTGTTTTACACATTAATTTGGACCGATGGAGCTAGCCTTCATTTCCTGTTCGTATACATAAAATTTTTCTGCAACAAAGCATACAGCAACCACTTTCAGATATCGTGATTTATTCAGCCACCTTCAAGCAGTCTGGCTACTGAATATGTAGAAGTTGGCCAAATAAATCAAGATAATCATATAGCCATCTAAATTTTTTACTTGCATTAATTTCTATGGGTTAATTAGGTTGTTTAAATGTTTTAAGTTATATATTTGCTTTGATTATTTGGCCAAAAATTAAAAACCAATAAGAATCTATGTCAGTCATCCGAAATTAAAGAAAACACAAGAAAAAAGAAATAGATTACCAGGCCAGAAAATTAATTTCTTTAAAATGTTACAAACTCTTTGGATTTGCAGCTTCAAAAATTAAAAACAAATGCATCTTTGTATATGGACAGAATAAGTTCGATTGACACCTCTAATCATGGGTGATAAACTAGATCCATCTAAGCTTCTCTTGTTTGGTGTTATTAAAAATTATACAATTATAAAAATATTTTAAAATTAATATTTTAAAATTAGATTTAATAAAAAAAAAACTCTTTTATTAATTAAATATCACCATCCTGGCAAGTTAGTTCAAGTCTGCTCCAAATTCCATGGTGGCATAACATGCATTGTCATGTATTTGATTAGGATTTTTCTGATGATAAAATCCAGTCTTGGACATTCACATAATGGTTAGCAATTTTAGGCTAATTAAAGGGTTCTTTTACTTTGGTACGAGGGTCAAGTGGTCCAAAAGTTTTAAGTTCAATTAAATTCATTGAATGTAAAAGGTAACCTATATTTTGCCTTTTTTTTACGAGTAATATAGTACAATATTTGCTTATTTTTGTGTTTATATTAATGGAGCATGTTAATCAATAAAATCAATATTTTTCGAACTTTACCTAACAATTTAAGCTAAGAAAATATAACAATTTTTGGAACATTTTGATTCAATTGATTAGTATATGATTTTTCACTAAAAAAAAAAAGATTCAAATATTTAATTTTTTTTTCAAATAAAAAAAAAAAGGTTTTACACTGTCTGGTTCAAATGCAGCCACCAACACACACGTTTTACATTTATAATAAAAAATTGATGGAATTGAAATTAAGAACATTAAATTTTGCCCAAGTTGAGGAAGACAATTATGTATAGTAGTAAATAATATGCAGAGGATAAGATGGAACGTTGTTGAGGTACAAGGTGTAAATGTGGTAGTAGTCTCGTACCTTGATTTGTTCGAGGGAAAATAAATAAAAGAAAACTGAGAATAAATGCATTATGCATTTGTTTGTTTGAGTTATGAATGTGAACATGCTAAGTTGATGGGCCAGGTTGAGTGCATTTTGATCTGTAGTATTTATTCTGCTGGACATTTCCGCTAACTCCCTTCAATTTTTTTTTTTTTAAATTACATTGGCAGCTAATTTTAATTGATTGAATACGATATTTAATAAATTTAAAATTTAAAAATTTTTTTTTGGGGTAAATTCTAACTTTCATTATAAATTTTTTTTTAGATATATATATATATATTAAGAATAAGATGTTTTTGGTATTTGTTTTATTTAAATTTAAATTATTGTATTTATTCATATATTCATATATATGATATGTGGGGTAAAATAATTTGATTTTTTAAAAATATAATTCAATTGATAAAGGAAAGCAAAGTGAGAGAAGATATCGTAGGGATTACAAAGTGTTACGAAGTTACGTAGGTTGGTAAATTAAATGCAACCACTGTCAAAAATTATTGCATGAATTTTTAAACAAACTTTCTTTGTCACCAAAATCATCCTTAAAAAATGCAAAGAAAAAGCATTTGGAGAGAAATCTCCACCTAGTCAGAAATCCATTTATTGAATAATTCCTTCTGCAAGCTAGGAATTAAAAGACTGCCTTTCTCATGAAGTCATAAAAGAATTACTATTACAGTCTTTGTTTTTTTTAATAATGGTTTCCTCTAACTCTTTTTTTTTTTTTTTTAAAGCTTATTAGGCAGTGAGAATTTAATATATTTCACCTGACCAAGAATATTAGGTAAAACCATCGATTGGAAGTATAAATTGATGATAAAATGTTTAATTCTTAATTTTAAATCAATGATCGTGGAAGGCAGCACACCTAAAAAGGGAAAAACACCTATGGATGTTGCCGGTGCTTAGCTTGGGGGGTGGGTTTTGTAATGCCCAACTTAATGCATCTTTCGCCAAAAGTAGATTGACATTTATTACATTCTAAATTTTATTTTCATTTTGAATTTTCAACCTTCCTTTAATTAAGAAGACAATAACAACGATCAAATTATCAGGGAAAATCCTTAGATTATCTATGGGTTATGATTCTCTCATCTGTTACTTTATCTAAATATTAAGATACTATATAGATTCTGATACATTTGTATATTTTAATATCCAAGGTTGTAAGAGATTAAACATTTATTATTAAAATTAAAAATTTAACATTTTATTAATCAATAAATCATACCATTGTTGGTATATATTTGCGTATCAAGATCTCTAGTTCATAACTTTTGTCTCATTTTTTATCAAAATTTGTTTTACTTTAAATTTGTTCAAATTTCAAAGCCGTAAGTTATGGATATTGTTAGGGGACATTTAATGGTCAAAAAGATATAATGATCTTTTTCTAAGTTAGAAGCCTTTGACAGATAATTAAAGATAATTTCGACATTTATGTCATGTCAGGTCAGTTTAACATACTTAGTGTCACATCAACTCGATGCTATCCTTATTGTCTCCTAATGAATCCCTATTACTTATCTATAAATATGAAGGTCCAGATACCATTAAGACAAGTTCATTCTATCCTTAATTGTCCTTATTATTCTCCTTCCAACCTCACTTATTCTGACTTACGTATCGGATCGCAAATGTAGGGAACACTCTCTTTCTTTGCCTTTAACCGTCATTCTCTTCCATCTTTTCAAGAGTACCCTAAGATCGGAGCTCGACACAAATATTTGGTGCATTAGATAAGAGATTTTTTTTTCACTTACTGGTCGAGCACAAAACAATGCCACCAATAAAGAGAACCTTAAAGGAAAAAGAGACGGTCATCTTGACTAGAACAAAAATGCATAATAGTCAACATTTAAAACGACATTCCCCACCACAGACAGGCTCGACCATGGAATAATTTCAGTCTTTAACCTAGTAGATCCAAGCCCTTAAACAGATATTGCAGACCATAACCCAACTGCAAGCTTTAAAAGTGTTTAACCTAATCACCCATGGTCGAAGAGCTGCTGTAAGATAGCCAAGTTACAAAGAGATGGAAGCCTCCTCGGCCTCTAAAGAAGAGAAGCATAACACCTCTATTTGCCATTACCCTAGCCACAACTTAACACATGCCACAACCCAAAAATATAAACAAACAAATCTCAAACCCTAACCAAATAAGGACCTAGAAACTCATATGTAAGCCAAGGAGAAAAAGCTAGAAACAAAAGCAGTGGCATTCGATAATGAGCTTAAGTTCCTAGAAATCTCGCCCTTCACTAAAAAAATTGATAGAGCCATGCTTCCCAAAAGGTTTAAAATGCTGATCTCAAAAACATACAATGATACTTCTGACCCCTTCGATCATTTGAAACTTTATAGGACTAACATGATGATGTAGGGTACCGATGAAGCTTTGATGTGTAAGGGCTTTGCTATCATTTTAAAAGGCATAGCTTGGTTATGGTATAGTAACCTGGAACCAAGGTTAATTACATCATTCAAAGAGCTCAGCCACTTTTTTTATCTCAATTTGTAAGTAGTCGAATGACGAAGAAGACAACTTTGAGTCTGATGTCAATCCACCAAGGTCACAATGAATCATTAAAGAGCTATGTCATGTATTTTAATGCAAAAGCTTTACAGGTTAAAGATTTGGAGCAAATGGCCACTATAGTCACCTCGACAAGTTAGCTCAAAGACAAAGAGTATCACCTAAAATTAACATTATCGCTAAAACTACCTAAAACTCGAGTTGACGTCCTACTGATAGCTAAAAAATATATAGATGCTGAAGCTACAATGAGAAACAACAAAAATGAGAAAGGCTCATCCCCTTTCTTGACGGTCGAGGTGTAAAAGGCTTATCCCTCTCCTTAGTCATAAGAAAGGCAAAGATTTCTAAGATCCTTTCCTAAAAGAGATGACATAGGGCTAGAAGCCCTAGCAGAGAAAAGAACTACACTATATTGAAAACCTCTTAAGAGATAATGCTAATACAAATTGAAAGAAATCTCGAACTCAGATGGTTGAAGCCATCAAGGTAGAATACAATGAGGGATTTGAGTAAAAAATGTGCCTTTCGTAAGAACA